TCACAAGTAGAATGAATGAAACAGAAAACAGAATATCAAGACTGGGTGATAAAGTTGAAGATCTGGACTCCTTAAGCAAGGGCTATATAAAATTAAAAAAAAAAAAAAACCAAAAAAACAAAACAAAAAAACCCCACAGGAATGGAATACTCAGGAAATGTGGAACAGCATGAAAAGACCAAATCTAGGAATTATAGGCATACAGGAAGGAGAAGAATCTCGGGCCAATGGCATTGAACAGATCTTCAACAGGATTAGAGAAGAAAACTGCCCTGAATTAAGGAAAGACTTACCTATACAAATTCAAGAAGCACACAGAACACCAATTAGACATGACCAGAACACAAACTCCCCACGGCATATCATAGTAAAAACATTAAATGTGCAGAACAAAGAGAGGGTACTGAAAGCTGCGAGAGAAAACAACTAGTTACATATAAAAGAAAACCCATCAGAATTCACAGCTGACTTTTCAATGAATACCATGAAAGATAGAAGAGCCTGGACCAAAGTATTCCCAGTTCTAAATGAACATGGATGGCGACCCCAAATACTTTATCCAGCAAAATTATCTATCATGGTCGAAGGGGAACAGAAAACTTTTCCACTAAACCAGCCCTACAGAGAATACTCAAAGCAATAAAAGGACTGAAGAAAGGAATAAGTAAAGCCAAGAGACTTCAGAAAGAAAACAAAGAAAGGTATAATAATGGAAACACAAAAGAGGGCCACAAACACAAAGAAATTAAGATGGCAGTATCCAATACACATTGTTCAATAACACTAAATATCAATGACCTCAACTCCCCTATCAAAAGACATACAGTAGTGGAAGGATCAAGAAGGAAAAACCCATCTTTTTGTTGTCTTCAAGAAACTCATCTCACCTTAGGGTGAAAGGATCAAAAAAATATTCCAAGCAAATGACTCTAAGAAGCAAGCAAGTGTTGCAATTCTAATATTTGACAAAATAGACATCAAATTAAAACTCATCAGAAGAGAGTCATGAACATATATGCACCAAACTCGGGAGCACCCAATTTCATAAAATCAGTAGTCCAGGACTATGAAACAGATTGACACCAACTCAGTGATAGTGGATGGCTTTAATACCCCACTGTCTTTAATAGAAAGATCAACTGAACAAAGAATAAACAGAGAGACATCTGAATTAGATGATATAGTACATGAAATAGACCTAACAGATATATACAGAATATGCCACCCAACCACCAAAGAGTACACTCAGCAGCTCATGCAAGTTATTCTAAAACTGACCACATTCTGGGACACAAAACAAGCACACCACTCATCAAAGAAGCTCCTTTTTGCAACAGATGGAGCCTACTGCAGAATTCCACAACTGCTCAGACACAGAGAATATGTGTCACCAAGTACTAGGTGACAAATCTACAGCTGAAGATCTTAGGTGAAATCTACATCTAAGGCTCAGGGAACTTAGCAGAACAAGGGGTAGAGAAAACTAATGCATCCCTCAACTCTTACCAGTAAAGTTTCCTTATACACCAGAGGGCAATGCACACAGAAGGACACACTGGCCAAGTTTTAAAGAGCGTGTGTCTGTGGGTGGGACTCCTATATTGAACCTCACCCACCCATGGCTTGGGGACCATTACAGAAAAGGGGGCGGAAAGGTTGTAAGAGCCAGGGCTGGTTAATGAACACAGGGAAGCAGAGGCTTTCAGGCCACTGGAAGCTTGCACATGTGAACTTGTGGCAATGGTGGCATCAGGCACAGGACCCATGTCAACTCAATTAAACAAGGGGCCAGAGGGGAGGAGAGAAATGGGTGGCAGCCAGCCCTAGACTGAGAACTATTTGAAGATTGATGTTGGATGAGGGAGAGTATGCCTTACATATGATCTCTAGATGGGCTGACTAGACTCTGATGGATGAAATTATACTGAAGGACATCTGGGTACAAATGCCTGACTGGATAGGACTTAAGGTGTATGGTGGAACACAATAGGTCTGGTGGAGGGATGGGGGGCATAGATGGGGTAGAGGGCATCAATTAGATTAAGAGCTGTTGTATAAAATTACAAAAGCTTAATAAAAAATAAAAAGCTTTAATCTGTCAGAATTTCAGTTTTTGAAAATAGAACTCTGCTTTGGCATTCAAACCTTCATAAGCTCTTACAGTTTTGTAAAATAAGGAATAAAAGTAGATAACATTAAGTAAGAGAAAAGAAATTTAAACATATACAATCATAACAGTTACATTGCTAATCACTGGTTTTCATCCCATGCCTGGTCAAAATCTACCTTCTTGGTGTTAAGGGTAAGTTAAAAGTATCTGAATTAATTCGAATATAGTTTAAGTGCATTTATCCAAACTAATAAAGGCTAAGGACACAGCTCTGTTGGTAGAGTGCTTACCTAGTATGCACAAAGCCCTAGGTTTGAGAATAAGCCAGGTATGGTGACACAAGCCTGTAATTCCGGTACTTGGGAGGTGGAGGAAGAAATATCAGAAAGAAGTTCAAGTTCATTCTCAGCTACATATGAAGTCTGAGGTCAGCCTAGGATATATGAGATCCTGCCTTAAGGAAACCTTAATAAAAACACATAGCCTAATGCATTCCACCTTCTATTTTACTGTGCTGAAGACTGTGCTTGTATTACCTTCTACCAAGATAATTTATCTTTGAATAGACTTTGGAACATAATTTTAGCTACCTCTCCACCTCCTCCCCCTTTAAATAATTTTGATTGTAAGTGTATGAGTGTATTGCCTGCGTGTAAGTACACTCTGGAATGCAATGCCTGCCGAGGTCAGAAGAGGACATTTGATCCCCTGGAGCTGGAGTAACAGATGGTTGTTAGCGGCCACGTGGGTGCTATGAATTGAACCTAGGTCTTCTGCAAGAGCAGTTAGTGCTCTTAACCACCATCCCTCTCCAGCCCCAATTTTAGCTACTTCTAATTACAGAGCCTCCAGAAATTTGTGAGGGATTTTTTTTTTAATAACCTTGAACTACTGATCCTGGATATGTGCCATTATGTCTAGCTCAATAAACTTGTGTTTTAAAACTTATTATCTGTACTTTTGTGTAAATATTTTCTTTATGGCACCAAAAACAAGGCATAGAAATAAATTAGATGCTGAGGTTTTATTAACTATTTAAACACATTTGTGGTTTTGGAAGTAATTCAGAAATTGTTATTCATGTAATGAACTCAGATAAACACAATGGGAATTCAAAATACATTTATAGTGAGAAAATGAATTTTCTGGTCTATGCATTTTTGACATAGTGCACAAACACTTATGCAGGTGAAACACTCATACATATAAAATAAATAAATAAGAAGTCTTAAAAACTAAAGTATGTAGGTGCACCTGTGCACACAATGTTTGTGGAGGCCAAGAGGGCATTGGCTTTGCTGGAACGGGGTTGTGAGTCATCATGTGGGTGTTGGGAACTGAACCCAGGTCCTTTACATAAGAGCCTGGGTTCAGTTAACCACTGAGCCATCTCTCCAGATCCCCAACCCCTCAGTTCTCACATTATTCAGTACGAATAAGACTTCTACAAATTAGAAGGGAACACGAACACATCTTCAGTTTTCATCAATGAAGCTCCCTCATGCAACAGAGGGCCAGGAACACAAAAGGAAGGCCACAAATGGCCAAAACGCAGAGAATAAGAGTCAGTAGAGTGTGGGCCCATGGACAGGACTCCTATATTGAGGTCCACCCACCCAGAGCTCAGGGACTATTGCAGAAGGGGCAGGGGATTTAAGAGCCAGGGAGGAGGTGTATGACCCTACAGAAATGGTCCTACAGGCACCAGGGACCCTTCTCATACAAACCTACAGCAATGGTGTGAGCATGCACAGGACCCATGCAAACTTAGGCAGACAAAAAGCCAGCACAGAACTATGAAAATGAACAGAAAGCCCCAATCTCAGTTGAAGATTATTGGCAGCTGATTACTGCTGGGTAAGGAACAGGTGATCTTCTTGAAGGGAGAGACTCTAGGTAGGCTGACTAAACCCCAGTAGATGAACCTGCACCGAGGGACATCTTGGGACACTAACTTTACAGAATAGGCCTTAATACAAATGACAGAATGTATGAACTCCAATGGGGGGCTATGGGAGGGTGCCAAAGGGGAAGGGGGTATAAAGATGGTTTTATGTATAGAATACACAAAAATTCAATAAAAATTATATTAAAAAGACTCCTACAAATCAGAATGTTGTAGATTTACAAAAGTGGTAAGCAACTTATGAAAAGTTCAGGATAACCGCTTTAGAGCCTACTGACAGGAAAGTTTCTTTTTTGAGACAGGGTTTCATGTAGACTTGAAACTCTGATCTTGTAGAAACGCTGATCTCATGTAGGCCTTGAACTCTGATCTTCTTGCCTCCAGCTCTTGAGTGCTGAGATTACAGGTGTGTGCCACCACGTCCAGTTTTTCTGTTTATACAGAGTTAGGGATTAAAACCAGGGTTTCATGCATGCTAGGCAAGCAGCTTACCATCTACAATACAGCTCCAGGTCCCTGTCATGCAGTTTTAAAGATTCTTACTCTGAATTAATCATATTATCATTGTGTTTTAAATCTCAAAATATATTCATCCTCCAAGAAATACATGTTTTTGCTACTTTCATACTCTCTCTTACAACTGTGTTGCATGGTTTGACAGTTTAGGCATATTTCAATGATTTGGGCTTTCATTTGGTATTTTATAAAACATGTAAAAATTAAAGGTTATAAGCCACTTTGGGCTACCCATAGTAGTGTATTTAATTATATTCAAATATACAATCATATAGTTAGACATGTTTTTTTCCACTTGCTATGTTCCGAAGAGGGCATGGTTCCTCCAAAGAGGAACAACTTGCTGGTTGTTCCTTGGCCACAGTAAATAAAAATGCGCAAAGTCATGTGTATATGTGTGCCACACACACACACACACACACACACACACACACACACACACAAAGTAAAACACCTTGAACACCAAACTCAAACAATTTTTTTTTATTTAAAAATCCACCTCAAAATTCAGTTCTGGGTTTTAGTTTTTGTTTAAAAAGAAGCAAACATTTAAAAGCATCAAGTGTTACTAGTCTACCATTCATCTCGTTATGAACACTTAGCTTGTGGACTAGGGAAATAAACTGAGTACACTTATTAGGCACAGTACTGTGGCCAGTGGGCCAGAAATCAGGGCACATTGTGTACTCAAGCAACAGTTAGAGGTCTGAAGGGAGGAGGACAAGGCTCAGCCGTGGACATTCTGACTTCTATGTCCCTTGCCCAAACTGTTAGCCTCAAATAAATGCATAGAGATTGTACATAACTTCGGTATAAAGTGGACAACTCTACTTGCTTTCTAAATTTTGTGGCAAAGCCAAGACAGACAAATACAACTATAGCCTCACTGTAATTCGTGGTCTGGACAAATTACATTCGTGCCACAGATGAGAGAATTTCACCATTCTTCTGGCAGTTTTAGAGATCTGGATGGATGGTTTTCATGACTACAAGATTTCACATAGCAGTAAGGCTTCAATACTTGTAAATTGGGGCAGTGAATATAAATCACAGTACAAAATTCTCATTTCTTTTACTTAAAAAAGCAATAGGTGCTACATACAAGAATCACTTAAATGACATCTATTTCATTTTTTAAAATGCAGCTATAAAACATTAATTGCATAGGGATTTAAATATAAGGCCAAGAAGAATATTAAGTAAAAAAAATCATAGAAAGGGCACTATGGTGTCAAAAGAGAGAATTTCATTCTTCGAGTAATAATCTGAATGACTGTCTAATTCAAAATCACAGTATGTTGCTATAACTAACAGTGAATGTCAACTGTTTTATTAATTCCAACTGGAAATCAATATTAGGACTAATGAAAACCTAACTAAAGCTCATTGTCTAAACCTGATCAGTGTATTAGCACGCCAGTGCCCAATTACGTACCTGATTAGTCATAAAATCTACCTTTTGCAAATAACATCTAATACACATTAACAAGTGTAAGAAGAGATAGTCGCTGTGTGCTGTTGATGACCTGCTGACTTACTGGATAGTGTAACTAGAGTCAGTCTTTCAAAGGTCTAAGATCCTACCCAGCAGAACCTTCACGCAGTGAACCCAAAACACTGTAATTAACAAAATATAACAAAGTTTTACCATTAAAATCTAAATGTACATGAAACAGAGAACTAGGTCTTGACAGCAGTATATACATTTTCCTTAGCATTTTGGACAGCAAAGAAGGAGGAGTCCGACTGTAGTTAAGCTTACAGTTACCACCTGAGGTGTCAGGCAGAAAGTAAATATGTGACCCTACTATCTCATTTTAATGGTGTTAGCTTGTAGCTTCAGCTGGAATTTTCCAGAACTAAAAGTAGCTTAGTCAACTTAGTATTGTTATATAGAGTAGTGTGAGAGCGAGAGAAAAAAGGAACTCCCAAAGGAAGGAGTTCTGTTAAGGTACACTGGGGATGCCCAAACCAATGTTTTAAATGAAAAAGTGCATAAATACAGTAATACTACAAGTGTGTTAACTATGGGACAAATGTTTCTCTGGGAACTAAAACACTATTTTCCCACTTTATTTACATGTTACAAATTGTTCAGATACCCACAGCACCATTTACAGTCTAATTTGCTTGAACATATTTGAGAGGTCCTTTGACCTTGACCCTGCTTGCTTGAGGCCCTAAAGCAGAAGCTTGGTCATCTTCAAATGGGATCTGTCTCTTGAATTCAGTTCCTGTTTGTTTGGCAGTGACAATGCTCAATCTTCATTTTACGCCCTTGGTAGGTGTTTCAGACTCCGTGGACTGCCTCCCATCTGTCCAGGCCTCTCGGGTACTCTTCAGAGCTAGGGTCTTCTGCTGGTCCACCACGACATAATCCACCCTCTCATCAGCCACGCTGCTGCCTGAACCACTGCTCTTTTGCTAAAAACAAAAACAAAGACACACCCCAAAGTGCCACTTGTGAGAGTCTTAAAATAAATACATAAGCAGCCCTGAAATTCTATTGGCTCACACACACACAAATAAATAACATTGCCTCAATTTAACAGTACCATTTCTCCCCTAACTACATACCACTTCCTCTTAATTTAAAAATTATACAAAATCATTTGAAATAATCCTCCCATCACAGATGAAATTCAGAGAAACCTGGTTCATCCTAACACAGAGACTGAACCTCCCTCCCTTTTCAGCTTTTGGACTCCCTTTGTCCTTTTTTAGGCCCTGATAAACACAAGGCAGTTGCTGTTTACTCTTACAGCTAAGAAATGTACTTTTTTGTAAAGTAATACTTCAAAGAAAAACAAACTACAAAGGGCGATGCCTTAATACTCCTAAAATTCAACTAAGTACTAGATAACTGAAAATGAATGTGATCATTAAGGCATTGTTGGGCTCAGAGAGTAAGGGGAATATCTAAGGTGTGAGAAAAATGGTGGGCAGGGTTCGACTCTACACTAAAGGTCTCTGGAATGAATATGGATGACTACAATGCATTCAGGGGGTGGGGAAGGAGGCGCAAGCTGAGGCTCCAGCTAAGCTGGGGGCCCCTGAAGGAAGTTGACGTGGTCCTAGAGTGGCAGTCTCAGTTGGCTTCTAGCAAGGAAAATACAGAAGAAGAAATTTAGGTTTTAAAAATTCACCTACGAATTTTAAATAAAAGCATATAAACATACAAGGAAGCAAGCCATATGTGAGCTACCAGAAGCAATAAACACAAATTCAGACCCCCAAGGACTTCAGATACCGAAATTACTGTTATCAGTACTATAAAATGCATGAAATGTTTAAAAGAACTGAAGGATAAACGAAAAGGAAATTAAACAGATAAGCAATATGAAGTGAGGTAGATTTTAAAAAGAACTAAACAGAATTTTGTTTCAAACATGAAATATTAAGAGAACTGAAATAGAGAGCTTACAAGAAAGAATTATGAATCATTGAATTTGGTGATCTAAAATTAGCCAACTAAACAGGGAAATAATAGGACAGAAAAATATGAAAGATTGGTTAGCTGTGGGGGTGATAGAAGGTTTCCCATATCTAATCAGACACTTCAAAGGAGGTAATAAAAATTAGCAGAGCAGTAGCAGTTAAAGAGATAGTGACACTTCTAGAATCAAGGGAAAAAAAAATCCAGGAAAAAAGAGCAGCACAACTTCTACCAAGCAAGAGAAACAAAAAGAAACCAATGTCTAGACACACTCTCCCGAAACTGCAAGAGTCAAGATACAGAAAAGAGCTCAGACAGAACAGAACCTAGAAAGGACATCTTCAACAGACCGACAGAGGCTAGCTGACAGTGGTAGAGGATCTCAGGTGGTCAGAGAACTGTGATCTCAACAAAACTTGTTTTCTAAGAATAAAGCAGAATAAAAACATTCTAAATAAAAACTGAAGCAATGTAGTCCCAACAGATCGGGAGCTTCTGAAGGATGAGGCACAGAAGAAAGATCTGAGCTCTAAGAACACATGATACACTAGGGGGTGACAAGGAGGAAAACGTAAATTAGTATTAGTAATGGAATGAGAATAATAATGTTGTCCAATTGGCATGTTTAACGGTAAAGATAAACATTTTGGACAAAAATAGCATATAACTTGAGTTATATTTTCTTCATTCTAAAGAGCATGGGCACTGATAAATTATAATTTTATAAAGAATTTGAGTAGAACGTATACAACTTTCACACCTTCACAAAGGAAAAAGTAAACTTATCACTCTCTAATTTTGTTGCTTATCATTTTAGAAACAACCTTCAGTAAATTCAAATAGAGCATCCTAAAATTTCCACAAAGGAGATGGTTCTTTAAAGTGTGAGTGAACTGTATCTACAGAAGAAGGTTTCACTTACCTTTCGTGGTGGTGTGGACTTCCCAGAGTCCAAATCTAGATCTAGGTACTCAACTTGTTTATCTCCTTTGGGCTTGATCATAGGGCTGCTTCCTCCATCAAGGCTGTTACTGCCAAAGAGACTCTGAAAGCACAGCACAGCAAGTGTCGGTCAGTCATTCATTCACGAGACACACTCATCTCTCTTTTTGCTTTCCACTGGGGTGTCATTATGTTAGTCAGGCTGGTCTTGGACTCCTGGGCTCAAAAGTTAAATTTAGTTGCACAATGACTTGGCCAGGGGAGTTATAGGCAGCTAATGGTTGTTGGGGGGAGGGAGTCATATTGATGAGTGGTGTAGCCACTGTTTAAGTTGTTCTTCACACACACACACACACACACACACACACACACACACACACACGGCATGAAAGTAGGAAGGGAACTTGTTGGGAAGAAGGGCTTTGGTGGGGGGGGGAAGAGAATAAAAGGAAAATATGATCAAAGCTTTTACATATATATATGAAATTGTGAAATAATGAAAAAAAAGACTTGGATATCAAGTCACAGCAGCCTGTGAAAGCTCAATGTAAACTTTTCTTTTTTTTTCCTTTTGGCCTTTTTGAGACAGGGTCTCCTTGTAGCTCCAGCTGGCCTGGAACTCACTATGTAGCCAGGCTGGCCTTGAGCTCACAAATACCTACCTGCCTGCCTCTACCTCCTGAGTGCTTGGATTAAAGGTGTATGCCATTATGTCTATAAACATTTTATGTGTATAAGTGTATTGCCTGAATGTATAAAAGTGCACCATGTGTATGCAATGCCCATGGAGGTCAGAAGAGGGTGTTGGATCCCCTTTAACTGGTATTACAGATGGTTCTTACCGGCCATGTGGGTGCTGAGAACTGAATCCAGGTCCTCTGCACGAACAGACAGTGCTCTTAATCACTGAGCCATCTCTCCAGCCCCAGCATTCTTAAAATTATATACTGCAGGGTATGTAGGCAGGGTATGTAGGTTGTGATTGTAGTATTCATGAGGCTAGTGTATGAGGACTGCAAGTTTAAGACAAGTCTTGGCTAAAACAGTGAAGTTGTGTCTCAAAATAACGTTATGTATAGGCCAGGAGTGGTCGCGCATGCCTTTAATCCCAGCACTTGTAAAGCAGAGGCAGGCGAGTGTCTGAGAAATTGAGGCCGGCTTGGTCCACATAGCAAGTTCCTAGGGCCTGGGGTGACAGGGAGATCTTGTCTCAAAATGACCAATATATGTAAATATATATAAATTATATATATGTGTGTGTGCATATATATATATATATATAATGTCTGTACTCACATACATTTGTATAGCAAGAGATCCCGATGCTTCTTACTTTCAAAGTAAATTTTAAAAAATTTAAAGACTTTTACATAAAAATTAGTTTAGAATAAGTCTGTTAATTAAAGGATCTGGGTAATGACTATACTTTTACCAGTTAATTTCCTCTGCCTTTTCTTAGCCCAATCCTTTCCTTCCTCAAAAGAACCGTATAAAACAACCATGCTCCAAAATAAGATAAAGAAACTAGGAAGACAGAGAGAAGCAACAGGAAGACCAACAAAGAAGCTTGAGGCAAAAAATGAGAAGACAGGTTGTCAGAAACTTTAAGACCAATTCTAAATAAAAATGAAAAGATGCCACAAGGTACTTGAGTTCAAGAAAGTTTTGGTACTCTATTAATATAAATGGCTCCCTCACATTTTCCTAATTCATAAAAAACTGCAATAAACATTTTTTAAATTTATTTTTACACTCACTTCCCGGTTGGCACTCTCCCATAGCCTCCTTCCCCCCACTAGAGCCCTTATACTCTGACATCCCTGCTACTGTCTGCTGTGTTGTCAGCACCCCCAGCCATTCCCCACTACTTGTCCTTCTGGTGAATCTAGTCAGCCTATCTAGAGGTCTTTGTTTTAGGAGGGTCAGCTGTTCCTCATCTAGCTAAAAAAACATTTTAGTCCCAGCTTGGAGTGTGGGTAACATCCTAAACTTAAAGACGACCAATGCAAATACTCATGCCCTGCCTTTCCCTGACCGGGGTGCTTGGAACTATTACAGTATTATAAAGCTATAAAAGGAATGCATAAATTCCTAGGACCTGCACAGTTAATCCTACCCAATAAACCGTTCCTAAAGGGAATTTCTCAGAACTGCTAGTTGAACTTTATGTATCATTACTACCAGAATTGATACTTTTTTTTTCATCTTTATTAAGTAGGACTAAAATTCAGGTACTAAAAGGAAGTCTATTTTCTCTTGATCTAATATCAACTGAGAACAGCCTATCTCTATGCTCTGACCTTTCACCCAATATTTCCCTAACAGTTTTTAGAGAAACTCTAAGATTCTGAGAGTTGTAAGTATTCTGTGAATTACATAGTATAATAAAACACCAGTGCTAGGTTTTCCTAAAACTCTTTTAAAATACAGAAAATCGCTTAATGCTTTTGCCGCAGTTATTACATGGTAATGTTTATGAAAGCAGTTTGGACCAATGCCAGACTTTTGGGTGTCACATTAAGGGTTCACTTGAAGAATGTGTGACATTTCATGTTCACACACACCAACGAGCAGCATCACCAACTCACTGGTTCAGCGTTCACTGCCCACCTCATGAACTAGGGAATGCATTGTCCTCGAAATTTTAATTTCTACAACAGAATCTTCTCTCTATGTATACTGCATTTGGGGGGGGGCTATTTATTTTTGTACACTGACTTGTAAATCCAAGCACATGCTAGATCCTGTGAATTCCCACAGTATTCCATCAACACATTAAGCTTTAAGAGTTGAGTGCTATGAACTCTGCTTTAACAATCACATTCTTTTTTGAGTCCTTGCACATAGCAACACGGGAAGCCAGATGGGGCACAGCTGACATTTCAATTGTGCCTGGTACACAGCTATTTATGCTTGGGCCATTTAAAAAAATTTAAGTGTATGCATGTATATCTCTCCGTGTATGTATGAATATATATGTGTGAAGGTGCCTGCAGAGGCCAGAAAAGGGCATCAGATCTCCTGGAGCTGAAATTACACGAGCTGCCTCATCTGGGTGTTAGGAACTGAATGGAGGTCCTCTGGAAATGCAGCAAGTGCTCTTAACTGCTGAGCCATCTCGCCAGTCCCACTTCGGCCATTTTTGCTCATTTCTAACACATAGGATCTGAATACTTCAAAAATTCACCAGCTAGACGCTTTAAGTAATTCAAAATACTTACTTGCCTGTCTTAAATGTCATAAGTACGAGAACATTGTACTTTTATTTCCTCAATTAGACTTCTGATCATAATGTCTTTCTTTGTAGTCTTTCCCTTTAACTTGACTCTTTTTTCTTTTTTTAAAGGCAGGGTCTCCTAGAAGCCCCAGGTTTCTTGGAACTCTAAGGCTGGCCTCGATTTCACAGAGATCCACCTGCCTCTTTACCTCCCGAGTGGTGGGATTAAAGGCATGTGTTACCATGCCTGGCTAACCAAACTCTTAATCACAACATTTCATACTTTCAAGCTTTCCTATTTCCTTGTTTGCCCAAGATATTTATGGTTATTTATTATACAGAGCAAAAGAACTGATTCTAGTATTTAGAAAACACCCTAACTACTTTTGTAACTAGAAAAAAAATAGTTCAACTACTTTTCTACTGTCATGTAGTATTTAGGGTTTACTTACTTATCTTACTAGAGTCTATTAACTATAATGAGAAAAACAAGTTAAAAACACAGAATCATAATCAAGTTGAAAACTATTGACCACAAAAGGAAAAGTCAATAAAAATAGTTCTGCTTTGAAAAAAAACTGTGAAAAATTTAAAGGTACAATTAGCTGTATTCTAATTCATTACAAGCTCCTTTATTTTAGATAATATAATTCAGTAATTTTTTATTGTGTATGTGAGAGAGAAAGAACATGTGCATGTACATGTATGTACTCATGTGTGTATTCCATGGTCTATATGTAGAGTAGATTTTCTCCTTCCATCTTTATGTGGGTTGTGGAGATGAAATTCAGGCTGTCAAGTTTACATGGCAACTACCTTTATCTATTGAACCATGTTGTCAAACACTAATTTATTTTAAGTATAAGTTTGATAGCTTTCAAAGTTAACCAGTATAAGCATAAAATCAAGCTTATTACTTAAACCTAATAACTCCTGACAGAGTTGTGAGGAAACTTCTTGTCTAACATCTACTAAGGAAGAAAACCAAAATTTCTACTCATCAATAGAACTGGATTTTATATCTTATATTTCTAGTTATTTTATTTATTATTATGTATGTGAGTGTGGGCATGTGTGTACCACAGTACGCATGTGGACGTCAGAGGACAACTTCTGGGAGTCAATTCTCTCCTCCCATGGATCCTGAGGACTGAACTCAAGTTGTCAATCTTGCACGACACATGTTTTGCTCACTAAGCCATCCCACTGGCCCTATATTTTATATCCTAAGTAGGATAGTTTTAAAGAAAATAAAGGCACTATAATGTCCATTGTGAATTCTGACATTAGCCACTTGCTTACGCTGGCAGACTGTGTGCACTTGTCCCCAGCATTTGCCCAATCTCACATGAATGTGGTTTCCAGCTTGGCCACGGTCCCCTGAACAAAGGCGATGTTGCCTAGCCTCCCTTGTATCTGAGTGGCCACACTGGCTGAGTCCTGGTCATGGCTTGTTTATGACAGTTCCTAGGAACCTCCTTAAGAGGCAGCTGTTCCCTCCACTTTCTCTACCTTTCTTTTACCCTGGTGCTGGCCCATGAATCTGTTTCTGAAGCCTCACCCTGTTCTGTGAGCATGATCAGAGGACAGCAGGCTGCGGATCTGGAGGTCTGAATCCTGGAAGATGCTAGAACACCGAAGCCACAACAGCCCTGGTCTACTCTCTCTAGACTTTTTAAGTCACTGTTATTTAATTTCTGTTTCTCAGAGATGAATCTAATATGCTGATACTCTTTATCAACTCAACTATAAGTACTAAGTCTGACATAAAATAGTTTTGAAAACTAAAATTGATTTGTTATTATTAAACAACTGAAATATTTTCTGGTAACCACCTGATTCAATGCCAAACAAAATGTTTGCTATTAGAAAGTTCTCATGTGTGGTAACAGCCAAGCCCCAAACCAATTATGTTTGTAACAGGTCTCCTTTAATCCTTAAGCCAAGGGGATATTACTGAAAGATAATCAGAGACCATTTGAAAAAGAAATTCTTCCAGAAGTCTGTCATGACCTGGGCCTGGAGAATTTCATAATAACATACTTTCAGTATAATTTTCTTTTAAGAGTATAAAAAAATTAATAGCATCTTAAATGAAATACAGCTGGAAATGTTCTGGAAAACCCAGTGGTAGGGATAGGGAATGTCCTTTACAGGTCGGCACATGGAAGGTCCTCAAAATGGTACTGTTGAGAAGTGGTAATATCTTTAAAAGGCAGGGCCAAGTGAGTGGTTTTTATGACACTGGGAACATGTCCTGAAGAGATTGTGAGACTTGGACCCTCTTCTCATTCTGCTTCCTGGCCATGAGGTGAGTGGCTTTACTCTGTTACTGGTCACATCACACACCACAGGCCCAAAGCAACAGAGCTAACCAGTCATGGACTAGAAGCTCCAACACTAGTCAAAATAAACCTTCTCTCTTTATATGCTGATTATTTCAGGATATCTGTTATAGTAACAGAAAGCTAACACAAAACCTTTATGTTTTTCAACTGGTTAACAATTGTAATGACAGTACAGATTGATTCTTGGATGGTTTATGATACTACTTAAAAAATTAAAAAAAGCAGTTAAAATTGTCTCTGATAGCTTTTCCATAAGTATAAGAAAGATGTGACACTAAGCGTTAACAGACTGTAAGAAGGCAGCTGGAATGATTTCAGAGGGCAGTGCAGGCAGGGAGAAGAGACCATGAAGACTTTACATACTGGATCTTCACTGGACAAGTTTGGGTTCATAGGGACGTAGTTCTCCTCACTGTCATGCGAGTCGCTGCTTGACGTTGTGCTGTGCACTGAATCTGGTCGTGGAGACATGGGAAACCTAGAGGAACTAAGGGAGGAAATTATCATCATAAGCACAAACTTGGAGAAAACTTTCTAAAATGGCTACCAAATAACAAGGAGTGACAGCATGTAGTCTTCCTGGAATATCCATTTGTTTACTGAATACATTTTAACAAATTTTACTGTACCCATTCAAACATACATTTAATATTTATAGCTATATTATGAAAGCACATTTTGGACATGAAATTATCCCGCGTAACAGAAGCCAAAGGTAAATCTTACCAGTAATTTATGGATAAGGAGAAAGTCACAAATTTAACAAAACCACATTTAAGAATTAAAAAACATATATTGGGCATGGTGTATTACTCCTGTAACTCCAGCATTCAGGAGTCTGACAGGACGATAGCCATGAGTTTGACATTAACTTGGCTTACAGAGTGAGACTATGTACCCCCCTCCGCTTTTTTAAGTTAAAAATCCCTATCTTTATGTACACATAACACACAATGTTAAATACAAGTTTGTCACTTCATAAATTATTCTCATTTCTCCATAGGTGTTTAGATAATTGTCAATTAAATAAGAGCCATAAAAACTACTGTATTTCCCAGATAAGTAAGTCTTAGAAATTTTTGGTCTTGTGACCCCTACACATGATGAAAAGTGATTGAGAATTCCAAAGTACTTTATATGACTCATTCTATTTATATATTAGAAAGGAGAACAGAAATATTAAAAAATATAAGAGTATGCAAATATACATTCTGCTAGCTGTCCCAATGACATCACGTATCATGAAAATTGACATGATCTGGGAAAACTCAGCTATTCAGAGGGTGGAGAATGGAAAAGGCAGAAATTAACTTAGCGTCTGTCCTAGATAGTTTTAACTGTCAACTTGACACAGCCTAGAGCCATCTGAGAGGAAAGCCTTGATTGAAGAATTATCTAGATCTGACTGGCCTGTGATTGTGTCTGTAGGGAATTGTGTTGATTATTAATTGATGTAGGAGGACCCAGTCCACTGTAGGCAGCATCATCCCTAGACAGGTAGACCTGGGCTATATAAGAAAGCTAGTTAAGAATGAGCCTGTGGGTGAGTGACCTAGCAAGCAGCCCTCCTCCATCCTTTCTGCTTCAGGCTCTTGCTTGAGTCCCTGGCCTGACTTCCTTCAATGATGGACTGTGACTTGGAAGTATAAGCCACATAAACCCTTTCCTCCCTCAAGCTGCTTTTCGTTGTGGTGTTTGTCACAGCAACAGAATGAAACTAGAATGGTGTATTAATGAAATTGGTTTTGACTTCATGGACTCTTGAAGGGGAGGGGCTCTCTAGATTGTTGTTCTAGCTATTTTCTTTGATAATAAACAATATTAGATAGTCACATTATTCAACTCCATGTTTTTAACAAAGGACTTACTCTCGTGCAAAGCTCCTGGTGATGGGTGATCTAACTGGGGCTTGCAGCTCTTCCCATTCTGGTAAAGGCTTTATTTCTAAAGGTGCTGGCTTGGCTGAAAAGAAACAGAGAAAGGGATATCTGAGTGCACCGAACACTGCAAAATAAACCAGGTCCTCTCTATTTTTTATTTTATATTTAGCAGCCAGAGCATGCCTAAGACAAGCCAGTTTCACACATGAAAACAAGTGCATAGTTACAAAGTTACATGCTCAGCAATAAAAGCTGAAGTAGATGATGTGTCACAGCTGTCAACTCAAAGTCTAAGCTCTATTACAATAAGCTGCTTCTAGGGCTGGAGAGATGGCTCTGTGGTTAAGAGCACTTACTGCTCTTCCAAGGACCCGGGTTCGATTCCCAGTACTCATATCAGACGGCTTACAACCACATGTGACTCCAGATTCAGGGGATCTGACATCCCCTTTTGGTCTCTGCAGGCATTAGCACATATATGGCATATTTCTCTCTCTCTCTCTTTCTCTCTCTGACACACACACACACACACCAACAAATGAAACTTTTAAAAAATTTCTAAAAACAATATGCTGCTTCTTAATGTAAATAAGTATCTTATGGACGTAAGTTAAATGAGAAGTGTGAGTTCTTGCAGAGTTGCTTGGAATGATTCTAATTATTTCATTGATTCGTTCTTTTTCTAATTTCATCTTCAATGTGGATGTTTATTCATCTATGTAAAACGTGTTCCTATTTTGCTCCAAAGAAGCACCAGTATATTCATGTAAAATGATGTGTAGAAAGTACTGGAAATTTTGCTAAATTCGAACCCAAGATTTAAAATAATTCATACCCAGTCAGGAAACAAATAAAAGATTAAACTCATTATTATACTCTGCTCTAAGAAAAGGCCCTAAGCCCTTTAAGTGACTTCGTCAAAATTTTAGTTTAATTCAATTAATGAATACTCCTTTACAAAATTAAGCAAAAATCAAGTAATTCTAATAGTTTTATGTGCTTTCTTTGAAAAAAATATTTTATTTAGGCTGGGTGTAGTGGTACAGGCTTTAATCCCAGCACTTGGGAGGCAGAGGCAGGTGGATCTTTGTGAGTTCAAGGCCAGCCTGGTCTACATAGTGAGTTCCTGGCCAGCTGGGGCTACAGTGAGACCCTGTCTCAGAAAAAAGAGAAAAATTAAAAAAAAAATTTTATTTTCATTTTATGTGTAGAAATGCATTGCCTGCATGTGTGTACATATACCCATATTGTGCAATTCCTGAGGAGATCAGAAGAGGATGTTAGATTTCTCCTGGAACTGGAGTTATGGATGGTTGTTAGTCACCATGTGGGTGCTGGGAATCGAACCCGGGTCCTCTGCAAGAGCAGCCAGTGCTCTTAACTGCTGAGCCATCTCTCCAGACCCCTTATGTGCTTTCTTAGTAAGGAAGCTTTGTTTCTTTATCACATTATTGTCGGAGATAATTCTGTAACAGTATAGAATTCTTGGCTCTGTTCTTTCTTTTTATTTTTCAGTACTGGGCATCTGGTTCTTAAAAATCAAAACTGAAATAATTTTCATAAATGTATGGAGTGAGCAACCCCCCAATATTATACAATTTTAAATATTAATTATGTTTTATTAGACTGCAAAAACATTGGGCTAATATCCTAACCATATCTCATCTAGCCACTTTAAAGAAAAATTGGTATTTTCACAGAGGTCCTTTCTTTTATACAAAAAATGTGTAATTCTAATCAACAATCTTATAAATACCATGAAATTACAAAGTAGGTAGTCATTTTAAGGTCTATACAGACTCACATAGGCTCACAATTAAGCATTTTGTTGACTCAAATATAATAAAGACATAATTATCCTTAAAATACAGGATATTGGGCTGAAAGAATTATCCTTAAAATACAGCACATTGGGCTGAATGAAGGTGATTTTTAAAATGTTTCTTTTTTTTTTTTTTTTGACAGAGTCTCCCCTAGTCCCAGCCTGCCTGGAACTCACTGTGTAGACCAGGTTGACCTCGATCTCACACAGAGATCTGCCTGCTGAGGGCAGGGATTAAAGGCACGCACCATCATGCCTGGCATTCTTTCTTGACACCAAAGCCTAATAAAAGTTTAGTTACCAATAACACAATTAAAACACTGAAAAGATTTTTTATTCTATTTCAGAACAGAACACACACACATACACACACAACACCACCACCCCCACCACCACCACAACAACAACAACAACAATGGAAGAAAAGTGGGACTCACAAGCAGTTCATAAGCATAAAAAACAATTAAGTGTTGTCTAAAAAGACCAAGGAACAATATGGAGACGAGATTGGCTATTATATGCTATCAACCATTTACATGCAGCCGTTAATGCCATAACAAACAGGTTCATTGTGTGTTATAGGAACATTTTTTTTACAAACTACGTGCCGCAAAGTTATTTACAACAGCAGCACTACTTAAAGGCTCTCCTTTTTCTTTTTTTCTAAGGAAAAGAAATTACAAAATTAAATTCCCAAGGCCCCACACAGCATGCAGTGCTGAAGTACATACCCTTTCTTCTCGTAGCAAAGTCACCTATGGTTTGTGAATCAGTTCGCTCTAAACCATGGGGTTTGGGTCTTAAAATTTTAGGACTCTGACCTAATTGGTAAAAAGAAGACTCTCTTAATATATTGTTATTTTTTAATTGGAAAATGGATTCTGTCTGAAAAAAAGCAACAGAACCATGTGCAGAAATGTTACATCTTAAAAGTATAAACGAAAATTCATTAGCGGAAATTATTCTGGCCTTGCTAGTAGTGACTCACGCGCAGCACGAGGTAACAGGGAAGCTGCATGCACCGGCGTTAACAGGCCCAGGGCTATGAGAGAGGGCTGGGTAAAGGAAGCAGCTGGTTAGCTTACTGAGAAGACGGTGGAAGAGCGCGTGCCATGTTAGTTTCTCTTCTAACATGTCTTAGAAAATTAGGTCAAATAAAAATGATAAAATCCTTCAATCAGATCTCCATCACGTCTTTGACATCTGGCGTCTCATGAGAAAGCACAAAGACCTGCTTTCCTAATTCTAATTTGGTACAGATGTTTTTAAAAGCAAAATCTGACCATTCCTGTACCTCCTAACCTAGTCCTTGTTGAGGAGCAGGTGACTAACACAACACTTGTGTATCAAAGACTAAAGCTACAACCAACTTTGATGTGATCCCTAGACAGACACTAAGTCTCTGGCACTACTGATTATCCAAATACAGAACTAGGAAGCATAAATCCAGTTGTCGTTATTTTCCTGCCATTTGATCTCTGTCACATGTCATCTCTAATGCTGGAATGCCCATAGAAAGTGCCTGGTCCCATAGCTTTTCCCTGGATCAGCCTGGATGGTAACAACCTTTCAATCTGTGACTCTGGCTACTCTGTTCCCAGTAGTACCAGGTGCCCTTTCTTCCTTGGAACTTACAAAGTTGGGCTGATGTCTACTACAGCAGAGGTAACATTTGATGATTCAAAGCTCATAATTACCATCCTATTTACTAAAAAAGTAATTCTTTTTTCAAAAAAATTTATTTCATTTTTAATTATGTCTATGTGTGTGCTTGTGTGGGGGTATGTGTATGTGAGTTAGAGTGCCCTTGGAGGCCAGAAGTACTGGATTTCCCTGGAGCTTCAGTTATAGACAGTTGTGAAAAGCCTGGTGTATGTGCTGGAAATGGAACTCTGGTCACTCCAGTCCTCTGGAAGAGCAGTACACGCTCTGACATCTCTCCAGGCCTCTCTCCACAAGAGTAATATTTTTTTTTTTTTTTTGTCTTTTTGAGACATGGTCTCTCTGTAGCCCCAACTGGCATGGAACTTGCTATGTAGACCAGGCAGGCCTGGATCTCAAGAGATCTTCCTGCCTCTGCCTCCTGGGTACTGGGACTAGGCATGTACCACCACACTCAGCTTAGAGTAATTCTTAAAATGTGAGTCTACAACATAAAAGAATGAAAATTCTTTAATTATTCAGTTTTATAAGTTAGGCAATTAATAAACTGAGTTTGCTCAGAAATGAAGCAGGACTAGTTTAAAGTTAGATTTGGGGTAAGATCTACTCCCTAACCCCTAATGTACTTTCCTAAAAGGAAAATGCCAGCTTTTAAAACTCCCCTAAATAGTGACTTACCCTTAAAAACAAAATCAAGAAGCAGAGGGTAAGTTTTGCTAACAAGAAAAAATTACTGGGTGCTGGCAAGATGGCTCAGCAGGCAAAGGTACTTGCTGCCAAGCCTGATGGTCTGAGTTTGATCTTGGGAACCCATGTGGTGAAAGGAGTGAACTGACTCCTGCAAGTTGTCCCCTGACTTCCACATGCATCATGGCACATGCCCCCACCTGCAGAGCAAATGAAGAAGTGGGAGAAGGGAGAGGAGGAAGAAGAGAAAAAGGAGGAGGAGGGAGAAAAGGAGGAGGAAGAGGAGGAGGAGGAAGAGGAGGAGGGGAGGAGGAAGACAGGCAGAGGAAGAGGAGGAGGAGGAGGAGAAGGTGGAGAAAAATACTGATTTTATAGCCAAAAGTCCTCTAGTCAAATTCAGCTTCTTTGTTTTATGAATGGTATACCCCTTAGACAAAAAGGAATGAATTGTTGCATCCCAACATGAAGCAGAGGCAGACCCGTACTGCAGGGGTGCAGCCTCTATGTATAAGGCTCTATAGGGAACCATAGGTAACATCATTTGGAGTTCAGTTCTGAGCTCTCCAGGTCAGCTTGAGATCTTATAGCATTCTCTTTATCACACAGTCACAAACTAGGCTAGTCAACTAGTGACGAGAAAGATGCTTGTTACTACATTCAGGTTGTGTGGTTGAGATTTCTGAATATACGGATGTGGCCTGGACAGGACATCTACTTGAAGACCATCGACCATTGGTATACAGGGGACCTGATACTCGATAAGCACAGACTGCCTTCAGAGTTACTTTGGGTTTGGTGTTTACCCAGTGGCAGTCAGTGGAGACTCGTTCTCAAAGACCTGTTTCATTAGCTCTTTAGTTTCCTCCAGATCTTTTCCACTTTGTACTTTCAGAACCTTATCTATGTTTGTG